TCTACGTTCACACGGCTTATGACACATGTGAACTATGCCTTTCGTATGTAGTTATGATGTGGTGTGCAATGTGTGGAAGAGGAATCACACCTTGCACACCTCACCACAAGAGGGAAAGGCGTGTGATTCCCACTCTTCACACAGTCATCACGCATGTCAAAGTTTTTTTCAGGGTGGAGTTCTGATATGAAATGCACATGTGTCAAAGAGGAATTCACACCTTGCACACCTCTCCAAAGGTGGGAAAGGTGTGTGATTCCCACTCTTCACACGGTTATGACACATGTGAACTAACCCCTCCGTATGTAGTTATGATGTGGTGTGCAATTTGTGGAAGAGGAATTCACACCTTGCACATCTCACCACAAGTGGGAAAGCCGTGTGATTCCCACTCTTCACACAGTCATCACGCATGTCAAAGTTTTTTTTCAGGGTGGAGTTCTGATATGAAATGAACATGTGTCAAAGAGGAATTCACACCTTGCACACCTCTCCAAAAGTGTGTATGGGGTGTGATTCCCACTCTTCACACATTTATCACACATGTGAACTAACCCCTCCGTATGTAGTTATGATGTGGTGTGCAATTTGTGGAAGAGGAATTCACACCTTGCACATCTCACCACAAGTGGGAAAGCCGTGTGATTCCCACTCTTCACACAGTCATCACGCATGTCAAAGTTTTTTTTAGGGTGGAGTTCTGATATGAAATGCACATGTGTCAAAGAGGAATTCACACCTTGCACACCTCTCCAAAAGTGTGTATGGGGCGTGATTCCCACTTTTCACACTTGAAGATGTGGTGCAATTTTTTTTTTTGATTCCGGGATGCCTGCAGATTTCAAAGAAAATCAACTTCACACGTTTTCCACCTCTGAACGTGTGAATTTTTTTCCCATTGTTTGCACGCACATTACACATTTGTCCTGTTCCGTCATACAAAGGTGTGGAAATGCATTTTGTGTAATCATGGTTGGGGAGGTTAATATTTTTCATACATATTGCCGATCCAGAATGAAAATCTTTCAAGGTCTTCATACCTAAAGATTTGTGACTCACATGAAAAGGCTCACAGGCACATGGTTCACTTTGCAAGTGGGTGTGAGCACCTGTGAAAAATGACTTCTGGAACATTGCACCATTCCACAACATTTCAAGTTATCTGATGAGCATTTGTAATAAGATTCTTCTCACACACACAAACATGTGAATTGAAATAGACCATTGTACAAGTTTCATCGTGACAAAGACAACATTCTCAATCCTAGTCTTCCCGCTGCTCGTTGTGATTGATCATCGTGTCGGCGTCATCATCATCTGGATTGTGGGCCTTCTTACTGTCCTCATCATCATCAACCGCTTGTTTACCAACTACATAATAGCCATCTTGGATGTCATCTACCCACATCTGATGTGTCCTGGCGGCCATTTTTTCATAAGCAGTTGCGAGGAGTGCCTCTGTCATACGAGAGTTGGGATGTTGTATGACCTCCAGACGTGTATTGCCGGTGAAAGTCCGACCTCTTAACGTTAAGTGGGGTGATGGAGTCTTTGGGTGGCAGTCTAAGTGGTTGAAGGGAGGCTTGAGATGTTGGCCTATGAAGTGATACTGTGAGTGGAATTGAGCGAGTGGAATTGAGCTCTTGGGGACTGAATAAAATGATGGACTTACGGACAAGATTATTCAACTTGGCTGTGAGTTGAGATTTAAGCAAATCACTAGCTTGAGGTTTCTTAGGGGGTTTGGTCTTGAGTTCGGATTGGGTGATATGCCTGACGAAATGCTCGAGAAGCTTCCATTTATTATCAGTCAAGCTTGTCCAGTCGTCAGAGGATGATGACTGCATTTGCCATTGTCCTTTCTCATTGCGAGTGTTGGGGTTCCACGAGGTTGCCATGAGGGCATAGTCAACACCATAACGGATGTGGATTGTTTGAAGCTAGGTGGAATCAAAACAGAAGTTTATTTTAATACCCAATAAATGAGTCATTGACGTGATCAGAAGCTTTACCTCATGTTCAATACGTTCCACCTCTTCAATACCCTTGTTCTGTCAAGCGGTTGGGAGATGAGGACCGAATTTTCCTTTCCCTAGATCGCGTGCGACTTTATCCTGATCAACTAGTTGCTTGAATATTGGAAGATAAGTATCCCTTTCTTCGGCATCGAGTGGAACTGTCCCAGGCTCAACAGGTGGCTGATCCCATCCAGAGGCTAGGTATCCTAGGAAGAAAAACATACGACCATTGAATACGTCCTTCTCCTCCGGTTCTAGGTTGGTCCAAGTTGTCCCTAAGTATTGGTTGCGCTCTTTGAAACCTTCTTGGGTGTTCCTTGGTGGCACTGATAGAGGGTAGTTGTTAGTGAGAGTTTTGAAATTGAGAACTCAGGCCGACTTACTGTTTGTGTTAGAACTTTCAATACTATACTTCAGAAAGTTTTGATAAAAGTTTTGTTTCGTTCTGATACTCACTTCATGTCTTGAGTAGAATAAAGGTAAGTATAATGACAACACAAGCAAAGAGTTGATACGTTGTTTCAGACTCACAGGAATTCATTCACTGTCTTTTCGCTGCATTTGGCAGCTAATGCAAGCATTTTCTTGGCACGCCGGTACATGAATTGAAGATTTTTCAATTCTTTTTGGATATCAGATGGGATGCGATTGCGAGTTTTGCGTCCAGTGGCTGAAAGGAGTTCGTTGATAGTGTAAATATCCAAGTCGAGATCCTGGTAGTTTTCAAGTGTGATTTTGTGTTTGAGCCTAGCATTTGAATGAGGTTGATGAGTCTGTGTTTGTGGCTGTGCGCCTGTTGCTGGGTCGTCATGATCATCTTCATCTTGATCCTCCCATGCATTTTCATCCTCTGACGAATCTGAATTGTCAGATTCGTCTGACGATGTCGACGAGTTTGTTTCAGCTGGCGGTTGTTGGTGATTAGTGGATCGCTTGGTGGTTGGTTTAGTGGATCGTTTGGCACGCGAAGAAGGTGGAACAGGTGCGGGTTTTGATTTCTTGGTGTTACGAGTGACTCGTTGGGGCATTTTCCGCTTTTGTGATGCGGGTTGTGCCATGCTTAGTAGAACGATTGATGTACAGGTGGGAAGTTGAAGTGGTGGAAGGGTTGATTGATGATTTGGATGGATGGATGTTGGGTTGGGTGGGGTTATGTGGTATCATATGTAGCAAGTATTATTACATGTGATGTGGATGAATATACATGTGATGTGGACAAATATTACATGTGGAGAGGCGAGGGTACAGTGGGAGGTGTGTGAGGAGTGTGAAAAGATGTGAAAACGGCTGTGAAGAAGGGTGAGGAGATGTGAAAAGTAGTTAAGGACTTTGCATGCGTTTGTGGACTTGTAGCCTGTGAGGTTACGAAAAGATGCATCCTAGCATCTTAGGATGCATCTGCTTGCTTATCTTCGGATCCGCTGCGAGGATATGTCTTATGTTATCCTCGGGTCGGGGCCGAGCTTCAAGTGTACACGAGGTGGGTCTCCTCTAGAAAATGCTACATCGAACAAAAACAATCCGAAGTCAGAAGGAGCTTTGAATATAGCTCACCTATTTCAGTGCACTCACCTTGACTGCACTGACGGATTCAGAGTGGTAGAATGTTTTGCGCGCCAAAACGATACCACAACATCCAACACAGAGTTGATCGTTGTGGGTCCGACATCTTGACATGACCATTTTACTTTGGGCTTGAGATTCGCCACCGTCGCGAGCCCCCTCATGTGATCGATTGGTCTCGTCAGCTTCCCGTAGGCCATCAAGATCATTGAACTCTGCGGTGTCAGCATTGAGATGCACGGTGGGATCCGAGGGTAAATTGGAGCCGGGACGATTTAGAATGGCGGTGATGGAAAAATTTGACTTGACTCGTTCGGTGAATTTGGCCCACACTTCAATGTGAGCAGCGTCACCACAAGTCTTCGAGTCGGTCAGAGCATCTCGTCTGCAAGGCTGCACATGGCAACGATTGCCCAAAAGTTCTAAGTGATACGGACAAACGCGATCGTTGATATTTTCCAGGCGATGAGTGCAAGGTCCTTTGGGGAGCGGTTGACCTGAAGCCGTAGCCAGCTCTGCGAGCTGTTCCGGGGACGCACTGCAACGCCAGTGCCCGATGGTCAGTCCATCGGTGACCACCGCTCGTATCCCTGGATGGAGGCAACATGGTGTCAATCAAACGTGGGCAGCAAACAAAGTACATCATGAATGTCCGTACCAATCCAAATTTCTTCACCTGTCTCAGGATTGACTGTTGACTTCACACGGACACAGCTACTGCAGTAGTGGTCTCGGAACCAAGTACCTTCAATATCGAGTCGGTCCAGGTGGGCGGCAATCGCCGGGTCGAACCGTGCGTCATCAGTTCCACTCGCGGCACAGAAAGTTGTTGTTTCGGCGGTCTTCATGGGTGAACAGAGCACTTATTTCCAGGGCGTCTAGGCACACTGCCTCTGACATGGACGGGGAAAACCCCTGTGCAGATCCAAACTGGGGGACATCCGAGTCTTCGACATGAAGCTCGTTGTACCAGTTGGTCAAGTTAAAGTGGGAGACGCTAGTAAGGGATGTGCAGTGGTTAAGAAAGACACGTTTAGCAAATGATTACAAAAACACGTGCAGTTTGAAATAAACTAGATACATACTGCGCAAGCATTTGAATCACACGGAACTGGTGAGGACCCTGGAATACCCCTGCAGATGGTACTGACGAAAAAGGTCGGATTTCGACTGATTTTTGTCAGTAGGGTACTGACGAAAAAGGTCGGATTTTGGGAATTTTCCAAGCAGGATACTTACCAAAAAGGTCGGATTTTGGGGTTCCGACTTGCCAAGGTGTCAAGTGGTGATAGTACAGACTAGTACAGAGCCGAGCAGGCAAGCCAGCTCGAGCTAGCTCGAGCCTTGATCTGGCTCGACAGTACTTATGTATTCGACAGTAGCTGGCCTGGCACTGATGGTTGTCAAAGCTGTCATTTCTCAGCAGTTCTCTTTTCAAATTTGAAATTGTACGATTTTAGACTACGAATTGTACTTAGGTTGTAGTCAATAGTTCCTATTCATGTATAAGACTATATTCCTGTTGGTTCCCCTTGAACTTGTCTTGCTTCGTTTTTCTTCAGATTATCGTTTTTGCTCTCGTATCTATCCTCAAAAATGGTCAAACGAACTTTAGATTCAGCAGCAGGAACATCTCGTGATACACTTGAAGTCATTGTCATAGAAGACGGATCAGACAAGGATGAATGTGAAAAGGATGAATCCGATAAGAATGCAAAATTATTGTTATTGAAGATG